ATTTTCATCTTTGTCAACCTCGAGAAATTCTCCTTAACGCGGGCTCAAGTTTAACGCCGATATTTACACGTCAAAGGGATTTTTTTCTCGAGTTCTACTTTTTAGCCAATGCGTTTTTCGGTAGTCGTTTCGAGACAATAGGGTCATTCCACGCCAAATCGACCAGCGAGAAAGCTCGACCATCTCGGATTTTGACGAAAATCGCCATACACGTAGAGGAATCGATTTAAAGAATATTGCAATATTCTCGCATATCTCGAGATCCGTTAGAACCAGAGAGCCCAAATTTTGGATTTTTTCATAAGTCTTGATTGCCAGCATGCAATAATTTTTTCAAGCAAATCGGAGTCTGAAGCCCAACGAATGTGACTAAAATTTGACCACTTGAGCTGGAACGCCTCCCCTATTAGAGTTGTACATTGGCAAATTTTTCATATTACAGTATAGTTTTCATCAGCTGGAAAGTTTTTGTAACAGGTTAGTCTTTCTCAACGTGTTTGACTTATGGTTAACTTTTGTGAAGTTTGCAAGCTAGTAATCTCACGTGTTGGGACAAAATGGCTGCGGACAATAGGGTAACTCATTTATACCCTTACGAAGTATAGGTAAGAGGAGCGACTCGTTTATTATAATAAGTATTAAATTTTAAATTTTTTCTTTGCGCGCGTACCCTGCGACGTCAGTGAAGTAAGAGCGATGTTAAAGAGTAAAGAGTTCGCAGTTCGATGGCTTTTTGATACCCGGGCATCATGTCGTGAGGTTAACCTGATCCCCTTTCGATATGTAATGCGAAACAACTCCTGTGAGAAGCGCGGAAAGGCTGCTACAATTTCTCATTTCTCAAGCGTCAAGCTACCGAAAAACTATGGGCCCGTACATGTCGTGAGGTTAACCTGATCCCCTTTCGATATGTAATGCGAAACAACTCCTGTGAGAAGCGCGGAAAGGCGATTAAGAAGGCCAGATGGGCGCTGCATTGGAGAAGGGACGAGTAGGAGACCCGGCCAATATGGCGTCAATTCCACACAGCCTGTGCCAGCCTAGCGCTGCCAGCTTTCCGCTCTAGGTATATACGATCTCTATGACTGGGCCAATATGTATATTCCTTGGCAGGCAATATTGATCCATTATTGGGGTGCTACTCCCAAGTACCTCAGTAGCACCCCGATATATTAGGCCGATGTTGGTGCTGCTATTTGTCCTGGGGGGGGGGGGGGGGGGTTTCCCCTAAGGTGGGGACTTTTCTATTTGAAGTAATGCCTGTATTAATGTAACCCCCTGCACATACGCACGTCTGTCTCTTGGCTGTGCAGGAGACACGGAACAGTACAAGGGTTGATTATTCCCCGATTGTACTAAATATAGAACATTCGGGAGATTATCCACCCTACACTCGTCGAGACGTTGCTTTGTGGTAAGCATGTTTTTGCCTTCTGTTTACCCCCACTATATACTTGAAGTAATAGGGCGTCCAATGGACCCCCCTTGCCAGCTTACGTTCGTCTTTTACCTTGCCCGGATGAGGGTTAACTGTAACGGCTTCCGAGGCAAGCGCCCTGAAATCTTGCAATACAATGAGCAAACTAACCCCACCATTATCTGCCTCAGCGAACTTAAGTGTTTAAAGCCACCTCTAATTAGGGATTACTACTGTCACAAACCTTCCTTTCAGAAAAGGCCGTGCTGTGGGGGTTCAGCAATTTATATTCTCAGCAATCTGGACTCAGAATTAATTAGCCGCTCTTGGCACATTGACTCAGAGATAATTGGAGTTAAAATTTTTTTTCCCTAACAACTCTCACTGTCTTCTATGCTTATATTCCTCCTAATTTCCTTCCTTCCCCTTCCGATCTTGACTTCATTAACCAAATTAACGGCCCTTCGCTTCTTCTAGGCGATCTAAACGCCCACTCTCCTAATCTCTCCTTCTGCCTGGAACCCAATATAACTGGTAACATACTCAGCGACTTCATAGCCTCCAGCAGCTTCTCTATTTTAAATGACGACAGCCCCATCCACCACTGTCCAGGACTAGAAGTTCGTACAAATTTGACCTAGCACCGGGCAATGCACAGTTCCTCCCTTTTTTCTATAACTTCTCTATAGAAGAAGACATAGGGAGCGATCATATGCCCATCCTCGTTAATTGCATGAGGATGGGCACCATCCTTCCTTCTCATGAACCTCCTCCTTCAACTAGCCTCCCTCGCTTTGATTTTCGTAACGCTGACTGGCATAGTTTCCAGGACGTGTTAAAGACCCTCCTTCATCATTCTCTCCCTTTAGAGACCGTCCCCCAACTCGAGGAAGCAGTCACTCTCATCACTGAAGCAATTCAAATCGCCCAGGATATTGTCGTCCCCAATACGACTCCCTCCCATAAGCCTTACAATCTCTCTGCAGAAACCCTCAATAAAATCAAAGAGCGGAGGAAACTCCGTCGTTTATTTTATCGCAATAAAGACCCCACCCTGAAGCCATTAACCAATAAGCTTAATCATGAGATTAAAGCCCTAATTAAGATCGAGAGCGATCAGTACTGGTGTGATTTTTGCGAGCAATTAAATAGCGAAGAGGATCCAGCTAATTTTTAGAAGTTATTTAAAAGGGTTGACAACCCTAGAAACAGCAATAGTAGACCCCTTACATTCGACGGCGGGACTCACTGCAGTGATGAGAGCAAAGCCTCCGTTTTTGCATCTACTCTGNCAAGGCCGTATTTAGGGGGGGGGGGGGGGTTCAGGGGGTTCAAACCCCCCCCCCTCCCCCTAAATCACCACATGCCTTCCGTCTATGCTTCCGATGCAATGCGGGAAATTCCAAGTTTTTTCAAATTCTGTAGTAATTTGTCTCCATTCTTCCTCGGTTCGGGGAATCTGAAAATAAGGGTTCTTTATTATCATCATTTTCCCTTTTTTTTTGCAGGAATTGGTCGATGATGGAGATTCGATTCAGGGTGATGGTGAGCCAGAGGCAAAAAAGAAGCCTCGTCGAAAGAAAGGCGACGAGATCATGAATCGTGCTTTAGAGGAAATTGGAGGATTGACAAAAGTCGCACGAAGCCTTGCGGCTAGTCGCAGCAAACCCCAGCAACATGAACAACCACCAAAGGAAATAAAGGAGCATGACGGCTTTTGCATGGATTTGGCTGCAGAATTGCGTACATTCCAAGACCCAAAGTTGGTATCATTTTTTAAATTCAAGATAAAGGAGTTGATGTTTCAGACAAAATGTGGGGGCATTGTTCGCCTTGCGCCCACCCATGTACACCGTGCGTCCTTGTCCTCTCCTATGTTAGAGTGCGTCTCGCGCCCGGCTGACCTCCCACGCCCTGGTGAGGCATTGATGTCAAATCATGAAAACTGAGGTAAAAAATCGGGGAAATTCCCCTCTCATTTACCGCTTTTACATTTACCTACATTTTACCGCAGTTTTACCTGTGTTTCACCTCTACCCCCAATTTACCGCTTTTACCCGTCATTTACCTTTTGTTACCTACAGAATATCCCTTACCCCAGACTTACCTCTATTACACAATTTCAAGAATACTGACGTACTTGTCACTTCATATGATAGGTGTAACATTAACATTGAGACTATGTTATAACTATGATTAAAATATGTTAATCACAACACCCATATGGGTGTTGTGATCTAAGAATAAAAGCATTATTTACATAAGAGAATCACGTCGTGAAATAGTCGGCAACATTTATTTCTACGCTCGCGACTTGTCGGTCTGATCATAAGTCTCAGAATTGTGAATGCACTTTTACGCTAGACTATTCCGAGTTGAGTTCACAGACACTGAGATAAGCTTAGCCTAACGTCAAAGGAAACAAGTCACATCACAACACAAAGAACATTTTTGAGAAAGAGCCGAACCCCTGACACTAACCGAGACTGACTTGCAGTCATGACGGCTACCGAGCGATATGAACAGAGTATTTCCAGCGCGTCTCACAAGGATAACAAAGACGAGCGCGAAGGTGCGCGGGGGAACTTTCCCCTGGGTTAACCGGAATCTTACCTTCGAGTCTTATCTCTTTTCAAGATCCTGCTTGCGGAGGAGTTGTTTCCCCTGAGTTTCAGATCAAAATAGGGAATTCCCCTCTTTTTCCCCTCTCTCAATCTGTCAGAAGACAGGTAAAGATTAGGTGAAAAAGCGGTTAAATATAGGTAACGTTTTGTAAGGGATGGTCTTCGCGCAGCCTAAATGACAACAGCTGCGAGAACTAAGTTGACCTCTCCTGATAGAATTTTGCAATACAATATAGAAACTGACTAAAACTGAGGTTGAAATAAATCTAATTTGACTTATCTCTGTTCTTCTGTACGCTTACCTTTAAAAAAAGTGGTTTGAGGATCTTTGTGATCGCTGTACACACTGCTGGCACTATTAATGATTGCGTGCATACTGGTATCCGAGAGGAGTACATCTGATCATGGTAAGTTGATCCTAGAAGAATTACGAATAGGTAACTTGGGGGATTATGGCCATTGGGGTAATATGGCCCTTCACAATGAACCCCCTTTCAGACTGAATAATTAGTTTGGGTGAAGTTCTATGGAAGAGTACATGCAATTGTCGAAATGTTTAGACCTGTTCATTGATCCAATCCTCAAAGGAATTCGGGATACATCGATGTCTTGAAAGTCATATGCATGTGATTCTTTGACTCTTGACTTTGAAACTAATATGAACCTTGAGCAACTTCAACGTATATTTCCTAATGGCAGCATGGATGCAGAAACCATTTCCTCAAAGTTCTTCCATGGTCCCTCCGGAATGCTTGTGCAAAGTGCTAGACCCTTCACTTGCGGTTTGCAGACAGTGTTGTCAATTTTGTCATGACAGTCAATATGGGGGAATGGTTTTAGGAATAAATGGCCATCTCAATTTGGGGTAATATGGACACATCCTTCATTTCATGTTAGCACCGCACTAACCTATTGGTAGTATCAGCTTCCTTTCATGTGGTATCTCAGGCTGCAAAAGATCATCCAATGCACTTCCTCTGGATATATGGATAGACGTACTTCACATCTGGACGAAATATGCAGTACATGAGGAGGCCGTGCATGAAGATATGCTCATGCTCCGCCTCCTGGACATCCGCTTCGCCTGACATACTCCAGAAACTTTCGTGGCACGACATTTGAATGCAAGTAAATTTCCCTCGTACAAGAAGTTAAAAGTGCTTCCTGTGATTTTTTTGGCACTATTTATCCAGACGTGCAAAAACTACGCAGCGTTTTCCTGCAATGTGAGACCAATTATTTTACACTCGTAGCGCATGTTCACTTAAATTTATTATTGATCACACTTCTCACACCCACAGTCTCTAGATACAGGCCCCCAATCACGTGCAATGCTACTCAAAGCCAAAAGCGTCGCAATCCTGCTTTTTGCAACAAGTCCATGAGTCGGATAATAATTTCGCCTTCTTTGCTAGTCCTCAATGCAGTTAATGAATTATTTTTCAACTGCTGAGCCTCCCTTATTATGTTTCAAGGTACTCAGCATATTCCAGCATATCTCACATGTACATGGAAAACCTTGAGTTGTTTTTTGAGAAGTGGCCATATTCCCCCAACTATAGAGGTAATATGGCCTCTTGGGACTAACTTGGAAAAAATCCAAGGGCGCAATATCCATGCGGTTTTTTGCATGTACCTTCCTGGGATTTAGTAAAGGAGATATGAATCAGTATTTTAGAAACATTGTAAAAGTCAAATTTGACCTTGATGGGCCGTCATGACCAGATTTCATTTTGTAGGGCCATATTCCCCCAAATTACCTTACATGTCAAAATGCCTGCCAGACTTTATTGCTGCTATACGACGAGCTTACACTCAAACTAAAGAACAATATGTTCATCAATTTACTGGTTACGTGTAAAACATGATAAACTTTTGTACTTACCGGGGGCAAGATATCTCAGGGTGAGAGCTAGGCGAAGCTTGGCTGGGATGGCTTCTCTCATGACTGTGTCCTGCTTCTGGATAGCACCAAGATTCCTCACTAGATGGAACCTTTGTTCCCTGCATCCTACAATTACAATTAAGTACTGGTCTTCCTGATATAGTATCAGGTTTTCTTACCATCCTTCCACTTTTTACTATGCAATCCATGAATATATATATGGAAAACATGAATTTATTATATATATTTTTATAGTATATGACTCAGGGAATCATTAAATGCTGAAGTTGAGCTTTTTATTGCAGTAGTGCACGGAATTAGGGAAGAGTAGAATCCCATCCCCACAAGAACTACAGGTATATCTTCTCTATCCTAAAAGGAAGAGAGCTCCTTTGAACATCTACTCCTTCTCCGAGGTTCCGGTACGGGAGGAGGAAGCAGTAGGTCACTTTGGTACTCTTAGAGTGCTGGTGAGGATGAGTATCTGTACTCGTCCAACCACTCTAGAGTTCTGAAGAACGTAAAGGAATAGGAGATTCAGTATGTCAATTCTCTTCAATGGTACTGGTTGACTCTTTAAATACGCATGAATGCCAGGGGAAAATTAACACAAATCTTACATAAAATGAATGTAAACATGGTGTTTGGAATGCAAACGGGAATGTCAATTTTACGTTAGATTTATGTTAATTTTATATCACCGTTTACATATCACAGAGGTGACATTTATGCAAACATGTTGATATTTTCTTGACAATGGTTTGTTAAACATATTGTTGGAAAACTCTTACTTTTTTGATAAAAATGACCGAAACATGCATAAATATGCACATATAAACGTAAATATGCACATGTTGAGAAAAGTGTAAAAACATGCATTTTTATGCATTTAAAAAATGGCAGAAATCGCTTCCTATACCAATAAGACCCGATCCTATCTGGGTTGTATGTTCCTAGGAGACTGCAAAAAAAAATGCATCCCTCGTCAGCATTCAAAAAGAGTGCAGGGCGTTGCATCCGGTCGAAAACCCCTCTACGAACCAATTGAGCAAGCCTAAGTTGGAAGGATTTGGCGATCATAACATGAGATTTTCACAATTAACACTCATATCTATGAACGAAAATGGGCCCCAACGTCATACAACTTTTGTAACCTATGGCAAACAAAAATGACCATTAAATGGCTGACGGATGTGATCAGCAACAATTTTCACCCATGCACGACGTACGTACTCCTGAAGCAGCCAACGAGGCTAAACTCGGGGCTGCAATTCCCTTTTCAACTCTTTTTAGCTGGTAATAATAGAAATTAATCGTAAGTAAATACTCAAGATCAGGTATTTAGGATACTACTGAATCGCAGTCAGCATTATCGCTTGTCAATTACATTTCTGCATGGACGTAAGAAATTCTTTCAACGTTTGAGACGAAGCATTTAGCTCTGACAACTCTAAACGATGAGAAAATCATTGTGATTGGTTGGAAGGGACTTGGAGTATAGGCCAATGAATTGTAGTCGTCAGCCATGCATCCATCCTTGGCGCTCGTCGAATAGGCCTTCTTATCCTTTTCCGTACGTTAAGTTTCGAAAAAGGTCCGTGAAGATGTGAAAATCGCACTTCCAGTTTCGCTTTTCGTACGTTAGCAATGAAATCGGATGTTAAGTTTTGTGAAAAGATTGCAGAGTTCAGG